TTCCTCCAACACCCTCCCTGAACACTCCTTTGACCAGGCTTTTTCAAACCTTGCAAGACTAAGTTTGAGGCTCTTCTCTTATGCCACCTCCTTCTGAAACAACATGAAGTCCTTCCCCCACCTCCTTAAGGCGAGTTCTGGCTAACAGGTAAGGGCCATTCACAAGCAGGGACCCATCCCATTTATCTACTTCCAGACGTCTCTCCACAGCAATATTGCCATGTCCTGCTGCTCAATGAACCCAAAAGAAAAAAAGAAAAGAATAATTTGAAATATGTTCTGTAAGTTAAGCACACAACTTCAGTGGGAAGCTCTTAAATGGATTACAGAAACAGCCTGTGGAGAAAAGCCTTCAGAGAAAAGCCGACCTGGTTCCTACTTATCTTTTACTTTACCAAACTTTTACACTCACCAAGGAAAAAAAGAAATAATCCATAACTCAAATTATTCTCACTCAATATAGATACTTCAAATGGTGTTCAAAATCTGGGATTGATTCACCCCTTCCAGTGCTTTAATACCATAAAACTCTGCCTCTGATGGTATTCAAAGAACTGTGCTTATATGAGGTTTTACATAACCTCATACTCAGTTTGACTCAAACTGCCCTTTCTAAAAAGTAACATAGAGACAACAGTACAAACAATACGAGTTATCCACTGTGCATCTTCTTCCTTAAATTTTATAATTCATAAACAACAGAAATGTTATGCTGTTAATTATTAATTAGAGCAGGTGTGAGACAACAGTACAAACAATACAAATTATCCACTGTGTATCTTCCTTAAATTTTAAAATTCATAAACAACAGAAATGTTATGCTGTTAATTATTAATTAGAGCAGGTGTTGTTTAATTGAGTGCAGGAATTCAGCTCTTGGGAAGGGCCTCAAAGATCTGTTGAAAGAATGCAATACATTGAGATATAACAAACCTACTTGACCTGTGTGGGAGCAGAACCTTCCTTCTCTGTCCCGCCCTGAGCTGGAGCTTGTTTCACATGCAGTGCAATGACCCAGCTCTGCAACTCCCGCTCTCATTCAGGCACTGCCTCTTCTGCTGGCATGGGCAGCATCACTGCCTGGGGTTCATGAGATTTGGAATGAACATTTTTACTGTATGACTGACACAGAGAAAAAGCTGAAGAGCTACACAGTCCATTCTTGCTAATCTAGATATTTTCCCATGTATAGTCTGTAAAAGATGAAGAAACCATTGCGTTTTTAACCTCCCTTTCTTCAAATGTCTACAAACATAATAAACACACTTGCACACCTAGAAATACTGATATACAAAAAAGAAAGGGAAAAGCAAATCACTGAATCAAGCAGAACAGTTCTGAACCCTTGCAAGACCTTCAGCTAAGATATTGCTGAGTGACAAGCTTCTTGAGACTTTCTCTGTTGGGCAATACTATTGCCATACACATAGGACTGATGCCACATCTTGTAGCACTGAGGCCACCCCGTTTCCCCACACGCAGTTTTTAAGGCACTTTGGAAAATGTGTCCCATTCAATTTTCATATGGACTTAGGGTTTAGTGTAAGAGCTTTCAGAAGTGTTTTCAGGCAGAGTTACATTGAGAAGCCCAAGGAAAATGCAATTGGCAGAATGGGGCGTGGAATGTAACCTAAGTTATGTGCCTGTAGAATGGCTTCTCTCTTTTCCCCATCAATTTAAGGCCTACACACTGTGTCTTCTCCCTGCCTCCTTTTTTTTTGGCTCTTTCTGAGCTTAAAACTTCAAAATGTACACAACCACACAGTGACTCCAAATTTCAGTCTTAATTTTCCTTAAAATAAGCTATTTCCTTGAGCAATCCAACAATACTTTACAAGCACATTGAGGAAAAATAAGCAGATATGCCCAACTTTACCTGTGTGAGTAATTTAATGTGGCCTACTCAATGCGACTTACTTGTATGAGTAGGTTTGAGTAGAACACAAAAAGTCAGACACCCTGTTTTCAATAGGGGATGTCAGCTTTCAAACAGGTGGTGAATATTAAGCAGCAAGTGGTGCTTCCATTATAAACCCTTTCTTAAAAAGAATGCAAGCAAAACCAGCCAAGACTGCAATCTCTTTTCCCAGCAAACTGTGAAGAGAAAGACTAGGTGCAGCACAAACACTGCTGGAACTCGGAAAATAAAAGTAGTAAGAGAAATAATCACCCCAAAGGAAAGACCTGGCTCACTCTTAGGCTTTTTATCTGTTTCCTTAGCAAACATTCCCACTGGAGCCTGAACTCTTGGACTCAGGTGTTCTGCAAAGAGGTAGGGCCTGAATCACCACCTTTCATTAATACAGAAATGAATCGATTTCCTTGCATGAACTGATACATGTTTTTCCAGTTATCCAAAGCGAATGTTTATTGTTTGTTTTTTTTTCTTTTCCTCTAAACTCATGGTTCTCAGGGAGTTTAGTCTCAAACATCCCTGAGAATGAAGCTGACAAGCTCTGATGCTGTAGCTGACCCAGATCAGAACAGTGCCGAGGCATTAAACTAACACCCTAAGCCACAGGACACATCTACCAGCACCTGCTCTGACCTGCTGTAGGGGATGCAGGACAGGGCAGTATGGACAGGGCAGAACCTGGAACAAAAAACCTTTTTTTAATGCAGTCTTCGTAGTGGTACAAACACTTCCATTCCAGTTTCTGTTACACATATCCATCTAAGAAAAATGAGTAGCAAGACACTGAGATATTATGAATATTTTCTCCATTAAAGGGTGTATTTCAGAGGAAGCATTTCTCTATTTGCTATTTCTGTTACTAAAGCAATAAAATATTGTGGGGATTTACATTTCATCAGCAAGCCTATGTTTGATTACAGAAAGAAACAGTTTGCTGGGGATGTAGTGAATACAAAGGGTAGGGCTGATCCCAACCACTGAGCAGCAAGCTGAGTGTAGGAACCCCCCTACTCACTTTACTTCTTGTCAAAACCAAAGTGCTCAGGCTGTCCTCACACTGCACCTCATCTTAGCATAGGACAGAAAAATAAGCAAAACCCTGCAGTTTAGCATCCCTCAACAGCATGCTTTGGCCACTGAATTAATCTTCATCTGCAGTTTTCTTCAAGAGTAGTTTTAAGCACCAGAGCTCAAAAGATGAAGACCAATAGCTTGCATTGTGTTGCCAGAAATGTTCTCACCAGGGACTGGAGTCCAATGAATAAAATCAATCCAGAGATGGCTAAATCAAGCTGCAAACTTTTCATGATGCCACACAATACCAAGTAGAAAAAAACAAATACTTCCATCTGTTTACACAGACTTTTCATCCTGATCTAGTGTGGATAAGAGAAATGCTAAAAATAGCTCAAACCTATTTTTACAAAAGGCAAATTGAAGGTTACAAATTGGCTGAACCACTCTGGAATCCATTATACTATTATAATAACGTTTTAACAGCATAAGTAGACTCAGTCAAAGCTACCAAAAGTCACCTTAAAAACAAAGATCTACTTTTTGATCTACTTTTGGACCTGCCGTGTGCTTCAAAAGACATCCGGTGGAAGTGACATGGGAGTTGCTAGACAGATGTCCCTTTACACTTTATTTCAAGAACTGAACAATGCCTTATCTTGCTCCAATCATTATTCCACTTAAATGCACTGTGGTAAAGAGAGGGAGGCCTAGAGCTACACTTAGCAAAGAAATGAATCATCTTCTCTCACATAAAAAAAAGTCATCTCTTACAGTCAGGGTGTTGAAATTAGTTTTGCAACTACTTTACAAAAATAACCAAGTTAACACATGGGGAAACAGGGAAAGAGAAAAAATGTTAAAAGAAAATTTAAAAAGAAAAATAAAAATCTATCATGTATGACAAATTAAACAATTACTAGTTGATGTTGGTCCATTAATTCATAATAAGAACCAGCTATTCACAATTGTTCAAAACCAACTTGAAAAATGTTGGTAGTTCAACTTGGTATTTCAAAATGTACTAAACATCAGAGTCACAAGCCCACCGTCTTGGCATTCCAGTACCTTTTGTATCCATAAAGTGTTCCACAAAAGTCCCAGATCATAAACTACGCAGGAAACAATGAAACTCTATTCCCAACAGCAGCTTAACTGGGAAAAGCCAGCCCCGCAGCTGAGTGGCTTGGCTAACCTTGGAGCTACAGCTGTGCACAGCTCTTCAGCTCTGTGCAGGACGGGGCCGGAGCGGGCACAAGGCGACAGAGGCGCAGCAGGGACCGAACGAGGCGGGAATAAACAGGGAACGGCTCAGCGCCGCTGGCTGCTCGTTGCCTCACGGCCAGTTTTGAAAGTGCCGCGCTGATAACGGAGAGCTGATAAAAGCAGCACGGAGGTTCGCCCTGGCACAGTAAGACCCTCTACATGTAAGAAATGTTCCTGACAAGGGTAGTTACCGCGTTACTACGCACAGGTGCCCTGCGCCCAGGTGAGGGGTGCACCATGTGAAACACTCTGGAGAAGCTGCGTGGTATTCCTGAGAAGCCTGTGTGCCCACACGAAGAAAACAGAGGCGATGCCGGAGGAAATGCCAAGCAGAAGTGTCCGTCCTGGCCGTACAACCCTGCCCGGCGGCGCTGGGTGCGGGCTGACCCCGCTCCGGCGCAGGAGGCTCCGCGGTGCTCCCTCAGAGGCTCCGCGGCAGCGCGGGCCCGCCGCCCGGGACACGGGCAGGAGGTGACAGCGGCGCTGGGTGCGGGCTGTGCCCGGCCAGGCCAGCTCTGTGGGGCTGACCCCGCTCCGGCGCAGGAGGCTCCGCGGTGCTCCCTCAGAGGCTCCGCGGCAGCGCGGCCCCGCCGCCCGGGACACGGGCAGGGCACGGGCCAGCCCCGCACACCGCCCGAGATGTGTCTCCCTCCTGGCCTTTTTCTTTTTAAATTTTTTTGTTTGTGGGACGCTGCCTGGCTCACAAAAGCGTCCCCTTTCGCGTCCCCACCGCTCGACCCCCACGGACAGCCCAGACCGCCCCGCTCGGCCGAGGCGGCTCCGGGACCGCCCGCGCCTCACTCACCTCCGCCATGGGGCAGCCGCCTCGGCCGGGGCCGCCGCCGCCGCCGCCTCATCCTCCTCCCGCGGCGGGGCGGGGCACGGCTCCACCCGGGCGGGGCGGGCGGGCCCGCGGGCTGCGGGGCTCGGAGCCCCACGGCTGCCCTGTGGCTGTCCCACGGCTGCCCAGCTCAGGCCCTCGGCGGGTGCCTGTGCTCGGCGGGACGCGGAGCGCAGCCCCGGCTCCGCGGCTCCGCAGCGCAAACCCGCCCCCTGCTCCGCTCGCCGCCGCCGCTCCGGCCCTTCCCGCGGACGGGAGGCGGCGCCGGGGCGGGACGGGGACAGCGCGGGCACGGGATCCCACCTGTGTGCTGGGGGGTCCTGCGTGCCGCCGGCAGGGACAGCGTGCGGCTGCTGAGGCGAGCTGGAAATAAAGGAGACGAGTTACAAGGGACAGCAGTCGGAAGGAAAAATAAAATAAAATAAAATTCTAAGAGATTCTTCACAACCCCCTATAACTTTATTTGGAGATTCAATACAATCTCCAAATAAAGTTATAGGATGCTGATACAGGTTTTAACTGCAATCAACCTGCTGCTTAAGCATCTCTTCAGGGCCTTTTCCTTCCCACCTACTGAACCGCATTTTCCTCGGCGCATCTACTCAGCGCTACAGGAACTTACTCTCGCACATGCCAGAGATACATTTTCCAGTTGTGTTCTCTCTGTCTTCTGAAAAGGTCTGTTATCACTTCTCATCACTTCTACTTATCTGAGTGTTTCAGACTTGCTTTGGCACTTGCAAAGCGTGTGGCTGCTCGGGCAGACCCCGAAAGTGTCACTTCTCCAGTGATAACTCTGTGTGTAACGGGTGCAGTTGCTCAATTTCGCTGTTATCACAGACGACATTTCCCTTTTTTTGTGGGGTCCAGTGTGATACCACGCAATGAGTGTATTACACTATCCTAACGTTTTATTGCAAAACTTTTTTCTTGAATTCTAACGAAGTAACAGTTTCTTTTCAAAAAACTAAACGTACTGGAATAGGATACCGTCTTCCATGACTTATTTTTGTTTTGTTTGTTTGTGTTTTTGTTGGTTTCTTTGTGTGTTTTTTTCCCCCTTTTTTGGTGTTTTTTTTTTTGTTTTGTTTTGTTGTTTGGTTTTTTTTTTTTTTTTTTTTTTTTTGTTTGGTTTGGTGTTTTTTTTTTTTTTAATGCCTGAGTGAGATCTCTGGCTTTTAAAGTGGAAGTAATGTTGATTTTGTTGTGGGAAAAATAAATTATATGTGTGCTAAGGTAAATATATTTACAATCATGATTCACTGCATAAAAGCCAAGACAGCCACCACACATTTATATTCCACATTACGCATTGGTGTTAAACCTTTTATTTTTTTGGGGGGGGTTCATCATGGTCAAAATCTCACATTATTTGTAGATCAAGTCTTCTGATGATAGGAAAATACACGACAATTGAAGAATTTCAACTGGCCTGTAGAATTTCTTGCAAGAGACAGAGAAGGAGCTCGACACATCCCACTCCCCAAGGGAGACAAGAGCCTCTTTGTGGCCACTGTAGGCCACTGCAAGGATATCCATGAAACAGGCCTGTTCAATCGTTTAGTCTTCAAAAACAAAACATGTTCAAAATGTTTTATAGAAGCTCTGGACTGTTACAATTGCTTTTGGCTGCTAGTGCTTTTTTTTTTTTTGCTTTTGCATGTGCGTTGCAAAAAATTAGTTCACTACAGGTGTTTTTATGGGCAGTAAGAAAAAATAGCAAATGAATCTTCAGTGGCCAGGTCTGGCATTTTTGAGTTAAAAGACACAAGTTGAGCATGGGCCTGGCAGTCATTTTCTACACATCACATTTTTATCACTTTCACACACTCAAACCAGCTCTCCTTTATGTCAGATGCACAGGTACAATGCCAGTGAAATCACTGTATAAATAGCAGACTGGATCATGTATCTTGCTGTGCTCTTACTACAAATCCTTTGGAAGGGCTCTGAAATAGCTGCATTAGTGCTGCTGAGGCCATGGCTTATAGAGCTGGACACAGATCATGGCAGAGGGGCTTATGAAGTCCTCCTAAGCTGGTCTGTAATGCACACATGCTTTCATGTCTTGTCTCTCATTATACCTCCTTGCAAGGGATATAAGCAGATACAGATATAAATCTGTCTATCTATCTATCTATCTATCTATCTATCTATCTATCTATCTATCTATCTATCTAATCTCTCCTCAGGGCTGGGAGGTCAGTTATGCCTCAACACAGAAAGTGTTCTAAATATGGAAAAAGTAAAAAGTAAAAAGCTTTGTCCTCTGGACATTGAGCCACTCATTCACAGATGTAGCTGGTTAAGTGTGTGACAAGAAGTGGTATGAATCTGAAACTCACTTTATTTTCACAACCCATCCCCTAAATTCAAGCTGCCAACTCTCCATCCCCAAATGCTTACCCAAGCTGCCCCCCGTGCTGGCACTCTGCCTATGGACAGCAGTCTCCCACAGGAAGGGATGGGTCCTGGTTTTCTCTTTTGACCCATACCATCCACCTACTTAGTGTTTTATCTCGGTACCATCTGGAGAACATAAAATGAATGTCAATTCCCTTCAAAACCATGGGAGGTATCATTTTTCCTTGTTGACATACAGTTCAAAACATAGCAGACATCCAACCTTCAACACTGCCTTTTTTAAGGTGTGCCTGGGTATGATCCAGCTCCCTCTCCATCCTCCACAAGAGAGACCATTTGGCCTGTCCCAGTAGCTCTGGGAAATTCACTCTTTGGTCCTCTGTGACATCTTTTTGTTACATCAGTTGATCTCAATACCTGAAGTGTTGGTGGCAGCCCTGTATAAATGGGCTTTTTTGTGTATCTGTGCCTTAATGCTTTATTCCTTCTTCAGACAGTAGTTGGGGACCAGCTGAGGCCACAGCTCAGCAGGAATTCCTCCTACCAACACGGTCACAGTGGCTTGTGCCAGAGGAGAAGACAGCACTCATGTACAGCAACACATTTGGAGTACAAGGCTAGTGGAAATAACAGTTGTAACCTGAGGAGCACTTGACTTCTTCCTGGAGAGAGTGATAAGTAAGAAGTGATTGATCCATATTAAAAAAAGAACCAAACTCCAAAAGCCAAAAGACAGCAACAAAAACCAGTAGGGGCACTACCTGAAAGGTAAGGAAAAGAAGATGGAATAAAAAAATCTAAGAAGGAAATCCTTTAAACAATCTCAAACAGAATGAAATATACTGAAATACAGATAATAAAATAATTTGATGTATGTGGCAGAAATGCTAGGAAGAGGGCAGAAGTCATCATGTACTAAACTTGGTTAACACTTGTCAGTAGAAAGAACTACATTTCCATTTCATTTTCAGCTGAAGCTGTCACTTCCACAGCATTGGAATCTGTGTAATCCAAATATGATAAGAGGTCCTGATTTTTGGAGGCAGTCAATGCCTTAACTCTTAAGAGCCTGAAGCAGTGTTCTACTTATGGCCACTTACTACCAAAGTAGAGACAAACAGTGGAGACAGAACACTTGGTTCTTTCAAGATGGTTTTATATTTGATTTTTTTTTTCCTAATTGATGCAGTTGTATGCCAGGAACAATTTGTCACTGAGACTGTGGTAACTTAGGATAGAAAGGAAAGATAGTGCAAGGTGAAAGGGGAGATTGCATTGCATTTTGCAGCCACAGCATTTGGAAAGATAGCATCCAGCCAGCAATGGAGTTCATGGCTAAATGCCAAACATATTTTGAGTCATGAAGATTTGCTGGAACATAAAGAGTTCAGAGAAGTAGGTCTGCAGTTTACCTCACTCTTAAAAGACTTAGCAATTTTAGGAGTTTGTTAGACTGGAGATTTCAACAGGAACATGGGATTTTCTCTTTAGGTGAGACCTACAGCAGGCCAAAAGTTTTATTCTTAGGATTTAGAAAGATTTAGGGATCCACACCTGTCAGAAAATATTTTGTTATGCCTGGAAGAAAATATTTCAGCTCTGAGTTTTCTTAGTCAAGCTAAATTTTTGCTATTGATAATTGCCTGAGCAATTTTTGAAACTCAGTTCAGTGCCTATTGGTGCTTACATATTTTGTAACTCTATCTTCAAAACATTTAAATATTCCTTAATCTCTTTTCCTTTTAGATATCTTAAATATGTATGATTTTATGATTCTCTCCTACTAGATTGCTTTGTGTCAACAGTGCACTGTATATAGCTTGTTTTGCTGGGAGATGCTTTCAGAGAAAGCATGAAGAAGGTAGAAATTGTCATATTATTTATGTTGCTGCAACAGCTTCTACCTTTGTAAAGGCTGCATCTTCACCTTGGTTAGATCAAATGCAGTTGAAGCTAGGTGTGTCTCTTAATGCCTTTTCTCTTCGAAGCTGATTGCAAGAGGAATTGCTAACACTGTGGTGGTTACCTTTTGAGTATCATCTCTTTTTTCTCTGTTGTTTTTTTTTTTTCTCCACTCTGTGTATTTTTGTGGGATTTTTAAAATTTTATTGCTGTTTGTTGTTGCCTTTTTTTTTTTTTAATTATATTTTCAGCATCAGTATAGGTCTCTTTCAGGCACCTGCTTGTGTTCTCCTATGACATCCTTTACAGTGGGGATGACTTACACAAAACAGTACATTATTACCAGATTGAAAATCTTTTGCAAAACATCTTTTGCAGCAATTCTCCAAGTGAGGAGCATGTTGGAAGGCACCAGTTATGCATGCCTAAATAAAAAGCTGAAATCTCTTTTATCTGCTGGGGTCCTGCAGCTTGTATTTATTTTAAGTTCTTTAATATAGTTGCTGTTGCTAAAATGCCAGCAGGGATGATAACAGTAGCAATAACAATAACATTTGAAGAACCAACAAAGAACACAGGTTCTGCTGGTGATGAGTTCTGCTAGTGTGGAAACTGCTACCTGCATTTATGTGCAAATTCTGTGTTGGCTGAAACACTCTCTTCTGTCTTGGTGTGTATGGAATACATAGAATCAATAGACTAGAATAAATGGAATTAATAGAGTAAATAGAATTAATGTGTACCCTAAGTACAAAATCGACTTTAAATCCCACAATCAGATTAGAACTACCACTTTCTCAAGCACTCTAAAAATCCTTTGTTTTCTTTAAATAAAGAAATATTA